TGTTTTGTCTCCTGTAAAATTAATCCAGTCATTTTTAACTTTTTGTATGGAGTTTTTTTCACCCCTCACTAATCGTGTTTCTCAATGAACTAATTCAGAAATTATGAATTGCATTTTGTAAAGATTCTGCCTACCTCGTCTAAAATTCGCATGTAAATTTATTTTAACTTGCTTTGATGGGACCCCGACGGGACTTTAATAAAAAATTATCTTATCTATCAAGGATTTAGGTTTAAGCTACACTAGTAATCTTGACCTCTCTCCACACGCTGACAGAATTACAGCCAAAGCTGCCCAGATTTCTGGCTTTATTTCTTACAATTTCTATCATCCTAAAGTTAAATTTGTGCTCTGTCGTATGTTTGTACTTCCCATTCTCGGGTATTGCTGCCCATTCCTTGGTTTGATTAATGAAGCTAGTCGTTTAAAAATTGATAATGTCCAATGACGTTTTTCTAAAAAAACTTTTAAATAAGGAACATCGCAATATCTCCTACTCAGATAGATGCCAGCTAACTAACCTAAAAATTTTTTGGGTTCGAAGACTAGAAGCGGGCTTCTGTCTCCTCTTTCGCATTAATCATAGTTCAAATTTCCCTCGGATTTCAGCACTCACCCTTAGTAGTCGTCCATACAATCTTCGCAACTCGTCCTTGATTATACCTCCTCCAGCGTTCTCCACCTCTAAGCGCTCCCTTTTTTCGCTCCCAGATATACTTTCCTCTGGAATAACCTTCCAATAAATATAAGATCTTCAGAAAATCTACACACCTTTAAGAGAAGGCTACGCCTTGATCTGAATACTGACTCGATTAAACTTTTATTTTCCTCATCCTTCCCAGACAACTTTTTCTATGACACTGAGTAAGGGCCAACGGGTATTTAGTATGCCGCCATTAAATTTCTGTATTTGTTCACATTTCCTTCTATTGTGAGCAGTCTCGCTTCCTAAGATCCCTCACCAGAAATTTTAATTTTTCCGATTTTTCAGTTCATGCATCGTGCTCTCACAGAATGCGCTGCATCAACGCTCTTGGAGAAACCTTCTGTATTCGCCATATACTAGTAGTCTGGTCGCATCTCCCTAGCCGCATCCTCGGATGGACTCGGATGAATGTAACCGACCGCATCTGGGTTCCTATCAGCTCAAGACTGGTTTTCACTTTCGCCACTTATTTGCCTTATTGAAAGCCACATACAGGCCAGTCTTGAACGACCCGCTTCTTACCCTTCATGAAATCCGTTATACAATGCCATATACAGCTGACATTTATTTCGGCCCTGACGATGTCCGATTATAACCCATTCTATACCGCCACATGCTGACCAGTCCTGCCCGCATTTTCTGTTTCTATTTTTTCCGAGGGTTTTTTCTACTGCAAAATTAACCCAATCATTTTTAAATTTTCATGTGGAGTTTTTTTCACCCCTCGCTTATTATTTTTCTTAACGGACTTCTAATTCAAAAACTATATATTGCACTTTGTATAGATTTTGCCTACCTCGTCTAAAATTCGCATGTAAATTTATTTTTACTTGCTTTGATGGAGCCCGACGGATCTTTAATAAATAATAATAATAATAATAATAATAATTAAAAGCCAATGATGAGGCTCCACGATTAAGATGACAGCGCAGTAGAGAAAACGCACGTGGCCTTCCGTGATGGGCTGGCTCTTGTGTTTGGGAGTGTAGGCATTCCTAACACCTCCCCTCCAAGTAGGTCAGTACAGCTTCTGGCGTGGATTGACTTGCATTAGCCGTGCTGATCGGCGCACGCGGTTGGTCCGGCGTCTTAGTCGTGGTTTATTGCCTGGAGGCACGGGAGCGCTGAATGATACTGAAGGTGGTATATCCGAAGTGGACGCAGCAGTGGTTTCGAGAACCGACCGATCTGCCGGAATGGCGAAGGTATCCAGTAGGATGTCAAGGAGGAGTGACGGCGCCGACTCGAGCCGAGTTGTGTTACTACAGTGTCGCCGTCGGATCTGGTTGTGGTGGCGAACCCAGATGTCATCACCAACGTGGATGTAAAACAACATACTGCCTCTGTGCGCTCAATTTCAAAGATAAGTGAAGCTCTGCATTTATCTGGATATTCTTAAGTAATTAATGCCTGTTTTTTTCTTGAGTCCGTTTTAAAAGGCGCCTTTCTATATAAGGTAAAATTTCTTTCCCCAGTTTGTTTGACAGTCTGGCAAAATAGTCCTATTTTGTAAAAATCCATTGTAGTGAATCCTTTCCCTACTACCGCTTTCTAGTTTTCGTGGTAAAAAAAACAGTAATACGTGCTACTCAGTGCGCGTTTCCGTTTTGATCCCTCCTCTGTAACGAAAAAACTTTTTTTTGTCTGTAATGCCCCGCAGAGCACGTGCTAAAAGGCGAAAGCTAGCGGCCTCCCCACCGTCTCTGGGTGCTAAAATCGTGACTGAAGACATGGCAGACGCCAGCGTATGTTCTTCGCCGTCTGCAGATCTGATTAGCCCACAAATCCCTTTAGTACATGTAGAACCTCTCGACCCTTCAGTCGTCCAAAAATACGCCTCTGCTAGTCGTAGCAGGCCATCAGCCGGCGAAATAATCGATCAGCTGATTTATGGAGACATAAACAGCACTTCTGAAAAA